ACCCCACCAACTGTCACCCCCCCCCCCAGTGTTCCACCTTACTGAGCGTCCGTGATTACATTTGAGTGTCATTTCATTTGGATATCTATAGCCGTAAACAGTGTTTTTCACGATTCGAGCTTATTCCGAAATCTATCAATGTTTTGCTATTTTCCCCGGCATCCACACACTTTGAATGCCACTGTTAACACTCGTTAAATTGAGAAAATATCGATACTATCACCCGCCACTGTGGACCGATTTAACGTTGCTTCAAAGTGATTTCACAATTTTTCCTCTACACTCTACACCATGGCTACAAGAGACAGAGATAGATTTCGCAAGTATGAATCGGGTGCATCAAAAGCGAGGATAGAAAAATAAAAAAAGACATAGCCTCCAGTTTGGACTATGATGATATAATAATGGAATTTTCCTCACGAAAGGCAAGAAAATTAGATCTTCGTTTGTGAACGTACTGGTAAGATTTTCATAAATAAACATAAATGTAAAAAAAATCAGGTTTGAAGCTGACGTTCATCGTCTCTTTAATGCGTGTCTCAAACTTATATCTGTTTTATTTTTTACTTTTGAAACAAAAAAGCCTTAACAGAAACAAGCAACGTTTCAAAAGCACTTCTAAGTAAACAAATTATTTGTTAATCAGTGTCTTAATGTTAATACGACATTGATAAGCAGCTTAAAAATACCATATATATCGTTATAAATATTAATTCGCGTTGAGAAGAAGAAAAAAACCGCCTCACTGTACATGTTTTAATTATACACCAATGAAAAAATTATAAGGCCCCGCGCGGATGGTTGGCCATAGGCCCCGCACACCCCTAACGCCGGCCCTGTACCGACTAATAAGTGGAAATAAACAACGTGCATATTTCCACTTAACCGTGATCTACATTTATCTTATATTTATAGGCATACATATCGTTTTTAATTAGAAGTTTTAAAGAAAAGTTATTTGAATGCGGGTCAATGATGTACCGGGGTCATTGATGTACCGGGGTCAGTGATGTACCGGGGTCAGTGATGTACCGGGGTCAGTGCTGTACCTGGGTCAGTGTTGTACCGGGGGTCAGTGATGTACCGGGGGTCAGTGATGTACCGGGGTCAGTGTTGTACCGGGGTCAGTGATGTACCGGGGGTCAGTGTTGTACCGGGGTCAGTGATGTACCGGGGTCAGTGATGTACCGGGGTCAGTGTTGTACCGGGGGTCAGTGTTGTACCGGGGGTCAGTGATGTACCGGGGGTCAGTGATGTACCGGGGTCAGTGTTGTACCGGGGTCAGTGATGTACCGGGGTCAGTGATGTACCGGGGTCAGTGTTGTACCGGGGTCAGTGATGTACCGGGGGTCAGTGATGTACCGGGGTCAGTGTTGTACCGGGGTCAGTGATGTACCGGGGTCAGTGATGTACCGGGGTCAGTGTTGTACCGGGGTCAGTGATGTACCGGGGTCAGTGATGTACCGGGGTCAGTGATGTACCGGGGTCAGTGATGTACCGGGGTCAGTGATGTACCGGGGTCAGTGATGTACCGGGGTCAGTGTTGTACCGGGGGTCAGTGATGTACCGGGGTCAGTGTTGTACCGGGGTCAGTGTTGTACCGGGGTCAGTGTTGTACCGGGGTCAGTGATGTACCGGGGTCAGTGATGTACCGGGGGTCAGTGTTGTACCGGGGTCAGTGATTGATGGGTTGCCTTTAGAGCAACTGTTGGTTGACCAAGTTGTTCAGATTCTGTACACATAATAATTCTTTACGAGTGCCGTTGTACACACATGGTACCACTGTTGTTGTCAGTGTTTCTTCCAGACTTTTTTCTCCGGTGGGGGAGGGGGGGCACTTGAAATTTTCGGGGGGGGGGGCGGACACTGTTAAAAGTATATATTTTCTATATAAATCATATAAATTTCATTTCGTTCGGGGGGGGGGGGGGGGTAGAATTTTTTCAAGAGATGCCTGGAAGAAACTCTGGTTATTGTACACACGTAGTAACAGTGTTGTTGTACACACGTAGTAACAGTGTTGTTGTACACAGTATCTTACTTGAGTGGTACACACTTTGTACACACCATATACCGGTCAGAGGGCGAATGTCACATGCGCATGGACTAGCTGGCACTAATTGAAGCCGCCGCCGTCCCCTGCACCTTACTGTTTGAATGAACGCCGTGTTCCAAATGAGAGAATCAGCCAATGGTAGAGAAAGGTTAAAGGTGACCTGATAAAAGATTATCCTAGCGCGGACTGTGTCAGCCGTCTAGGTAAAGCACTGATCAATGGCTGTGTTCATTGATTGACTTTATGGTACCGTCCATGGGATATGTTTCGTCGCTCAGGTAGGCTCGTCACAGTACATGGTGTCAGGCTTCAAGTATGTCTGTCTGTCTGTCAGGCTTCAAGTATGTCCGTCTGTCTGTCAGGCTTCAAGTATGTCTGTCTGTCTGTCAGGGTTCAAGAATGTCTGTCTGTCTGTCTGTCTGTCTGTCAGGATTCAAGTATGTCTGTCTGTCTGTCTGTCTGTCTGTCTGTCTGTCAGGGTTCAAGTCTGTATGTCAGGGTTCAAGTCTGTCAGGGTTCAAGTCTGTATGTCAGGGTTCAAGTCTGTCTGTCAGGGTTCAAGTATGTCTGTCAGGGTTCAAGTCTGTATGTCAGGGTTCAAGTCTGTCTGTCAGGGTTCAAGTATGTCTGTCAAGATTCAAGTCTGTCTGTCAGGGTTCAAGTGTGTCTGTCAGGGTTCAAGTCTGTATGTCAGGGTTCAAGTCTGTCTGTCAGGGTTCAAGTCTGTATGTCAGGGTTCAAGTCTGTCTGTCAGGGTTCAAGTATGTCTGTCAAGGTTCAAGTCTGTCTGTCAGGGTTCAAGTGTGTCTGTCAGGGTTCAAGTCTGTATGTCAGGGTTCAAGTCTGTCTGTCAGGGTTCAAGTATGTCTGTCAGGGTTCAAGTCTGTCAGGGTTCAAGTATGTCTGTCAGGGTTCAAGTCTGTCTGTCAGGCTTCAAGTCTGTCAATTGATATCATGTGTTTGATTGTTTGTCTTTTTGGTTAGCTTTTCTTGCTACAGCATCTAACAACTGACATAGAACACATCTAACAACTGACATAAAACACATATAACAACTGACATAGAACACATCTAACAACTGACATAAAACACATATAACAACTGACATAGAACACATCTAACAACTGACATAGAACACATCTAACAACTGACATAGAACACATCTAACAACTTACATAGAACACATCTAACAACTGACATAGAACACATCTAACAACTTACATAGAACACATCTAACACCTGACATAGAACACATCTAACACCTGACATAGAACACATCTAACAACTGACATAGAACACATCTAACAACTGACATAGAACACATCTAACACCTGACATAGAACACATCTGACAGCTGACATAGAACACATCTAACACCTGACATAGAACACATCTAACAACTTACATAGAACACATCTAACACCTGACATAGAACACATCTAACAACTTACATAGAACACATCTAACACCTGACATAGAACACATCTAACAACTGACATAGAACACATCTAACAACTGACATAGAACACATCTAACAACTTACATAGAACACATCTAACAACTTACATAGAACACATCTAACAACTGACATAGAACACATCTAACAACTGACATAGAACACATCTAACAACTGACATAGAACACATCTAACAACTGACATAGAACACATCTAACACCTGACATAGAACACATCTAACACCTGACATAGAACACATCTAACACCTGACATAGAACACATCTAACACCTGACATAGAACACATCTAACACCTGACATAGAACACATCTAACAACTGACATAGAACACATCTAACAACTGACATAGAACACATCTAACACCTGACATAGAACACATCTGACAGCTGACATAGAACACATCTAACAACTGACATAGAACACATCTAACAACTGACATAGAACACATCTAACAACTGACATAGAACACATCTAACAACTGACATAGAACACATCTAACACCTGACATAGAACACATCTAACACCTGACATAGAACACATCTAACAACTGACATAGAACACATCTAACAACTGACATAGAACACATCTAACAACTGACATAGAACACATCTAACAACTGACATAGAACACATCTAACACCTGACATAGAACACATCTAACACCTGACATAGAACACATCTAACAACTGACATAGAACACATCTAACAACTGACATAGATTGAGCAAGCACCTGCTTGGGATGGTATCAAGGCCTTGACCTATATACCACCAATGATTTCTAACCATGTTTTTAATGGAATGACGACGGTTCGGCCTCGTTGATTCGTTGCTGCTGTCCTCACAGTCACCGCTTCCCCGTCGTGTCCCTGCCATTCCCCGTCGTGTCCCCGACATTCCCCGCCATTCCCCGTCGTGTCCCTGCCATTCCCCGTCGTGTCCCCGCCATCCCCCATCATTCCCCGTCGTGTCCCCGCCATTCCCCGCCATTCCCATCATTCCCCGTCGTGTCCCCGCCATTCCCCATCATTCCCCGTCGTGTCCCCGCCATTCCCCGTCGTGTCCCCGCCATTCCCCGTCGTGTCCCCATCATTCCCCGTCGTGTCCCCGCCATTCCCCATCATTCCCCGTCGTGTCCCCGACATTCCCCGCCATTCCCCGTCGTGTCCCTGCCATTCCCCGTCGTGTCCCCGCCATCCCCCATCATTCCCCGTCGTGTCCCCGCCATTCCCCGCCATTCCCCATCATTCCCCGTCGTGTCCCCGCCATTCCCCGCCATTCCCCATCATTCCCCGTCGTGTCCCCGCCATTCCCCATCATTCCCCGTCGTGTCCCCGCCATTCCCCATCGTGTCCTCCCATTACCGGCCTTTGTCTTGGTAGATGACGTTATCGATCGGGCGGCCGAGCGAGTGTGTGTGAGTGTGTGTGTGAGTGTGTGTGAGTGTGTCGTATTGATCCACTCACCCGTTGATCTGCTGGCGACTCACACACTCTGGGTGGGTAGGTAGACCAGACCAGTGCAACAAACTGTGCCATTCTCTATGGAAGGGTCTGTACAACTTGCTCCAACTATCTTTGTTCATTGTACACTAGATCTACAGAATTTCTCTTTGTTGATTGTACACTAGCTCTACAGAATTTCTCTTTGTTGATTGTACACTAGCTCTACAGAATTTCTCTTTGTTGATTGTACACTAGCTCTACAGAACAAATTTCTCTTTGTTGATTGTACACTAGCTCTACAGAATTTCTCTTTGTTGATTGTACACTAGCTGTACAGAATTTCTCTTTGTTGATTGTACACTAGCTCTACAGAACAAATTTCTCTTTGTTGATTGTACACTAGCTCTACAGAATTTCTCTTTGTTGATTGTACACTAGCTGTACAGAATTTCTCTTTGTTGATTGTACACTAGCTGTACAGAATTTCTCTTTGTTGATTGTACACTAGCTCTACAGAATTTCTCTTTGTTGATTGTACACTAGCTCTACAGAACAAATTTCTCTTTGTTGATTGTACACTAGCTCTACAGAATTTCTCTTTGTTGATTGTACACTAGCTCTACAGAATTTCTCTTTGTTGATTGTACACTAGCTCTACAGAATTTCTCTTTGTTGATTGTACACTAGCTCTACAGAATTTCTCTTTGTTGATTGTACACTAGCTCTACAGAATTTCTCTTTGTTGATTGTACACTAGCTGTACAGAATAAATTTCTCTTTGTTGATTGTACACTAGTTGTACAGAATTTCTCTTTGTTGATTGTGCACTAGCTCTACAGAATTTCTCTTTGTTGATTGTACACTAGTTGTACAGAATTTCTCTTTGTTGATTGTACACTAGCTCTACAGAATTTCTCTTTGTTGATTGTACACTAGTTCTACAGAATTTCTCTTTGTTGATTGTACACTAGCTCTACAGAATTTCTCTTTGTTGATTGTACACTAGCTGTACAGAATTTCTCTTTGTTGATTGTACACTAGCTCTACAGAATTTCTCTTTGTTGATTGTACACTAGTTCTACAGAATTTCTCTTTGTTGATTGTACACTAGCTCTACAGAATTTCTCTTTGTTGATTGTACACTAGCTGTACAGAATTTCTCTTTGTTGATTGTACACTAGCTCTACAGAATTTCTCTTTGTTGATTGTACACTAGATGTACAGAACAAATTTCTCTTTGTTGATTGTACACTAGCTCTACAGAATTTCTCTTTGTTGATTGTACACTAGCTCTACAGAACAAATTTCTCTTTGTTGATTGTACACTAGCTCTACAGAATTTCTCTTTGTTGATTGTACACTAGCTGTACAGAATTTCTCTTTGTTGATTGTACACTAGCTGTACAGAATAAATTTCTCTTTGTTGATTGTACACTAGCTGTACAGAACAAATTTCTCTTTGTTGATTGTACACTAGCTCTACAGAACAAATTTCTCTTTGTTGATTGTACACTAGCTGTACAGAATTTCTCTTTGTTGATTGTACACTAGCTCTACAGAATTTCTCTTTGTTGATTGTACACTAGCTCTACAGAACAAATTTCTCTTTGTTGATTGTACACTAGCTCTACAGAATTTCTCTTTGTTGATTGTACAATAGCTCTACAGAATTTCTCTTTGTTGATTGTACACTAGCTCTACAGAATTTCTCTTTGTTGATTGTACACTAGCTCTACAGAATTTCTCTTTGTTGATTGTACACTAGCTCTACAGAATTTCTCTTTGTTGATTGTACACTAGCTCTACAGAATTTCTCTTTGTTGATTGTACACTAGCTGTACAGAATTTCTCTTTGTTGATTGTACACTAGCTCTACAGAATTTCTCTTTGTTGATTGTACACTAGCTCTACAGAATTTCTCTTTGTTGATTGTACACTAGCTGTACAGAATTTCTCTTTGTTGATTGTACACTAGCTGTACAGAATAAATTTCTCTTTGTTGATTGTACACTAGCTGTACAGAACAAATTTCTTTTTGTTGATTGTACACTAGCTCTACAGAACAAATTTCTCTTTGTTGATTGTACACTAGCTGTACAGAATTTCTCTTTGTTGATTGTACACTAGCTCTACAGAATTTCTCTTTGTTGATTGTACACTAGCTGTACATAATTACTCTTTGTTGATTGTACACTAGTTCTACAGAATTTCTCTTTGTTGATTGTACACTAGCTCTACAAAATTTCTCTTTGTTGATTGTACACTAGCTCTACAGAACAAATTTCTCTTTGTTGATTGTACACTAGCTCTACAGAACAAATTTCTCTTTGTTGATTGTACACTAGCTCTACAGAATTTCTCTTTGTTGATTGTACACTAGCTCTACAGAATTTCTCTTTGTTGATTGTACACTAGCTCTACAGAATTTCTCTTTGTTGATTGTACACTAGCTGTACAGAATTTCTCTTTGTTGATTGTACACTAGCTGTACAGAATTTCTCTTTGTTGATTGTACACTAGCTCTACAGAATTTCTCTTTGTTGATTGTACACTAGCTCTACAGAACAAATTTCTCTTTGTTGATTGTACACTAGCTCTACAGAATTTCTCTTTGTTGATTGTACAATAGCTCTACAGAATTTCTCTTTGTTGATTGTACACTAGCTCTACAGAATTTCTCTTTGTTGATTGTACACTAGCTCTACAGAATTTCTCTTTGTTGATTGTACACTAGCTCTACAGAATTTCTCTTTGTTGATTGTACACTAGCTCTACAGAATTTCTCTTTGTTGATTGTACACTAGCTCTACAGAATTTCTCTTTGTTGATTGTACACTAGTTCTACAGAATTTCTCTTTGTTGATTGTACACTAGCTGTACAGAATAAATTTCTCTTTGTTGATTGTACACTAGTTCTACAGAATTTCTCTTAGTTGATTGTACACTAGCTCTACAGAACAAATTTCTCTTTGTTGATTGTACACTAGTTCTACAGAATTTCTCTTTGTTGATTGTACACTAGCTCTACAGAATTTCTCTTTGTTGATTGTACACTAGCTCTACAGAATTTCTCTTTGTTGATTGTACACTAGCTGTACAGAATTTCTCTTTGTTGATTGTACACTAGCTGTACAGAATTTCACTTTGTTGATTGTACACTAGCTCTACAGAATTTCTCTTTGTTGATTGTACACTAGCTCTACAGAACAAATTTCTCTTTGTTGATTGTACACTAGCTCTACAGAATTTCTCTTTGTTGATTGTACACTAGCTGTACAGAATTTCTCTTTGTTGATTGTACACTAGCTCTACAGAATTTCTCTTTGTTGATTGTACACTAGCTCTACAGAATTTCTCTTTGTTGATTGTACACTAGCTGTACAGAATAAATTTCTCTTTGTTGATTGTACACTAGCTCTACAGAACAAATTTCTTTTTCGTGTTTGTACTCCTGCGAAAAATCAAAATCGAGATTTTCACTAATCTTGATGTTACACCTCAGAGTCAGAAAGAAAAAGTTTTATAATTTTTTGTCTGTGTGTGTGTATGTCTGAGTACACAATAACTTGAGTACCGTTACAGCTAACTTGATGAAATTTCATATATAAGTATTATATGAAATTTGTAGTTCTGTATCAAATTCTCAGTGATTTCAGGTTACCAGGAGTGGAACTTATTCTACTTTTGGTTTTTTCAAAATCCTATAACTTAAGAACTGTTTCAGATAGATAAATGAAATTTCACATTTAAAAAAAGATTTAATTCTCTGAGTAATTTCTGTTTATTGGAAGTAGAACTTTAAGCTATTTCAGATTTCCCCAAAAAAATGCATATGTATTTATAAAGTACTAATATTCTGCACTATTATACACACACAATTTGCTGTTCACTTGGTGCACAATTCTTTTTTCAAGGAGATTCTCTTTAAAAAGTTTAAGTAATTAAAAATTGATCTAAAAATCATGTCTATATCCTGAGTTGAGATTACTCCTGCTTCATTTTTGTCAAGTCAATTATTATTATTTTTCAATTTTTTTCATGCAAATTAAAATGTATAATTGAAAAGTGAACTAAAATTGAACAATTGATAAATATTGTATTTTATAGTTATGACCATTTATTTTTATGTAAGAAAAAAGCATAAGAATCTAGTTATATATGCAGTTCTTTCGTCGGCATGAAGCTAGTTGCAAACATCAGAAATATACTTTAACTACAAAGAGTGGTTAGAGAGAGTAACATACCTAGCAGATATATTCGAACTTCAACAAAAGCTTAATCTGAAACTTGAGGGAAAATGAACAAATATTATCTCTTTATGTGTAGTCTCGGGGCATTTTTATCAATGCAAAAATATATGCAAAGAAAATAAATCTTGGAAATATTGCCATGTTTGAGAAACTCTGCAGTGTGGTAGATGAATCTCACTGTGAGATAAATAAAAATTTGAGAGGATTCTGTGCATCATGAATCTCTTGAAAACGAACTACGGCGTTATTTTCCCTAAGCTGAATTACAAGTTGAATTCTTGATTCCCTCAATGTTGCCAGCATTCCCGATGAATTACAAGTTGAATTCTTGATTACTCGTCATGTACCTTGTTAAATCAAAAACTGCTGACACAATGTTGGTGTAGTATGCACCATTCATACCCAAACGTAAAATTGATTGCCTTTTGAGTTTTAGTTCCTCTTGTGTCCACATATCATTGCAAGAATAATTTTCAACGCTTCTCCAATTAAATAATTTTCAACGCTTCTCCAATTAAATAATTTTCAACGCTTCTCCAATTAAATAATTTTCAACGCTTCTCCAATTAAATAATTTTCAACGCTTCTCTAATTAAATACAAAACAAATAAATTAAATGTTGAGAATGACATGAGGTAAAGCTTCTCCAATTAAAAACAAAACAAATAAATTAAATGTTGAGAATGACATGAGGTAAAGCTTCTCCAATTAAAAACAAAACAAATAAATTAAATGTTGAGAATGACATGAGGTAAAGCTTCTCCAATTAAATACAAAACAAATAAATTAAATGTTGAGAATGACATGAGGTAAAGCTTCTCCAATTAAATACAAAACAAATAAATTAAATTTTGAGAATGACATGAGGTAAAGCTTCTCCAATTAAAAACAAAATAAATAAATTAAATATTGAGAATGACATGAGGTAAAGCTTCTCCAATTAAAAACAAAATAAATAAATTAAATTTTGAGAATGACATGAGGTAAAGCTTCTCCAATTAAAAACAAAATAAATAAATTAAATGTTGAGAATGACATGAGGTTGGCGTTAACAAAATCTCAACTGCGAATGTTGAGAATTGTTAACAGCATGTATTTCACTCATCTTATTAAAACAGTTATTAAGATAATCCTAATATATAAAAGCCCATGTGGGCACTTCTCTCTCTCTGTCCACAACATTTTTTAGGCTATTTAATCAGTATGTTGAGGCTATGTGATCAGTATGTTGAGGCTATGTGATCAGTATGTTGAGGCTATGTGATCAGTATGTTGAGGCTCTGTGATCAGTATGTTGAGGCTATGTGATCAGTATGTTGAGGCTATGTGATCAGTATGTTGAGGCTATGTGATCAGTATGTTGAGGCTATGTGATCATTATGTTGAGGCTATGTGATCAGTATGTTGAGGCTATGTGATCAGTATGTTGAGGCTATGTGATCAGTAAGTTGAGGCTATGTGATCAGTATGTTGAGGCTCTGTGATCAGTATGTTGAGGCTATGTGATCAGTATGTTGAGGCTATGTGATCAGTATGTTGAGGCTATGTGATCAGTATGTTGAGGCTATGTGATCAGTATGTTGAGGCTATGTGATCAGTATGTTGAGGCTATGTGATCAGTATGTTGAGGCTATGTGATCAGTATGTTGAGGCTATGTGATCAGTATGTTGAGGCTATGTGACCAGTATGTTTAGCGATATATGGAGAACTGAAAGATACAAGCTTTTGTTGAAAATAAAATTTTGGATGTTTTAAATGTATTTACTAAATTTTATTTTAAGTAGGAAAATAAAAATAAAGGTATATATGAATGTAGAAACACATTTTTAAATATGCAACCGGTAAAGTGTTTATTGTTGTGACTAGAACGCAAAAACATTGAGGTCACATTCTTAAACTAGAGAAAGAAAAACAAAACTAGTTGCGCATTCTTTCAATTTTAGAATTTGAAGAAATGAACTATATCATTCAAATTTGATTTAAATTTATAGATCTACTTATCGGGACGTACGCTATGAAATGTATACAATTTTCTCGGCCAAAAGTAATACAAACTACATTTTAAAAAAACAACATAAATACCTTTGAACAGAATAATTTCAGTCTCTTAATCAGTGTGTGCATTTAATATGGTGTTTTGTTGACTATATAATTTGGTTTTTCTAATAGGTATTGGTAGCCTATGTTATTTTAAATGTGTCGGACCTTTAGCTATATAGTTATTTCTTTGCTTATTCACTAATATTGTTCAACATGTAGAAAAGCACATTGCATTTTGACCAATAACTTTTATAGAAAATATTTTTCTTGAGAACAAGTATAACATTAAAATATATTTTTCTTGAGAACAAGTATAACCGTAAAATATATTTTTCTTGAGAACAAGTATAACCTTAAAATATATTTTTCTTGAGAACAAGTATAACCTTAAAATATATTTTTCTTGAGAACAAGTATAACCTTAAAATATATTTTTCTTGAGAACAAGTATAACCTTAAAATATATTTTTCTTGAGACCAAGTATAACATTAAAATATATTTTTCTTGAGAACAAGTATAACCTTAAAATATATTTTTCTTGAGAACAAGTATAACATTAAAATATATAGACGTATAGTTCACATGTAACGGGTACAGACGGCTAGATCATAATGAAAGTCTATGAGAAAATATTATTAATTTCCTAACTAACTTTTTAATTCTATGGGGGTCGCTGGTCCCTTACTTTTTGTAAAAGGGGTCTGCACTGGAAAAAGTTTGGGAACCACTGAGTTAGATGTGTCCTAGAAGACTTCGACATAGAGTCAATGAGATCTTTAAAGATTGTATGGTTACCTGGGCAGAGTTCTCTAGACATTTGTGTCATTGGTACACTCAACGCAAGATATGGTAGAGAGGTTAACAATTTCATAACTCATAGGGATGACACATCTGCATAACAATTGATTTCTTTTCTTATTGACTCTTTGTTTCTATCCAGGGCTAGAGGTCATCATTGAGCTAAGGAGAGCAAGGTTGAGACTAGGAGCTTTGGCTATGTTGGTTTGACTGGCTAGTAAAGAGCTGCTGAGATGGGAAAAGTTGATGATGGTGTCAAGCGAGAGATTGTCAGCGCTAACCTGGAAGTGATTAGTGAAGAAAGTTTTGTCAGAAGACTAGAGGGCATGAGCTGTGCCAACTGTCAAAGACATCGTCAGCAGCGCAGCAAAGTGAGCAGGAAGGGCAAGAGCAGCAGACGCAAGCAGCAATGCAAGTCCAAGAGCCCAATCGTCATCCATCTCAAGGACACACTGCCCCTAAAGCAGAGACAGTCCAGCCTGGATGGAGACTCGGATGTATCCACACGATCCACAGATGAAGAGCAGTACCTGACTCAGGTCAAGCTTCCCAGCCACAAAAAGACAATTTATGGAGATGTTGCATCCATTCCAGAATTTGTTCCTCAATACAAACACCACTTCCACCAGCCATGGGCCCAGCCCAGAATGTTCCCCACTCCACCCACTTGTCTTAGATCACCTTATCATCATCTTCAATCCACTGTCCAGAAAGCTCAAGAAAAATCTAGAAAGAATTTGTCCACGCTAATATCTGTTCTAGAGAAAGCCCAGAGAAAAGAATCTTCCGACCCAAACCTGAGCAGCAACTGGAGCCAAGGCAAGTGTTGCCAGATTTTAAACAACCTCTCCCTGGCCAGCGAGGCCAAGCGCAACATCATGTCAGACTGTGAGAATGTGGAGCTCATCTGCAATGATCTCAGTGGGGACAAGCTGGCAGAGAGCACAGATGGGGATTCTGATAGCAGCGACAAACTTTCTGTCCTATCCAGTTCAGACATGTCAGATGTAGGGGAGCAGGTCAAGGGCAGAGCTTGTATCGTGTCAAGGTCAGGGGAGCAGGTCAAGGGCAGAGCTTGTGTCGTGTCAAGGTCAGGGGAGCAGGTCAAGTTAACACCAGATGAGCTAGAACTGCTAGCAGAGTTCACAACTGGTCCTCCCCTCATGTGTATCTCCCCCCACACGTGTATCTCCCCCCACACGTGTATCTCCCCCCACAAGTGTATCTCCCCCCACAAGTGTAGCTCCCCCCACAAGTGTAGCTCCCCCCACACTTGCTGCAGATACCAGCAGACTGAGGGCTACCCCAGAAAGTCATCCATCCATTCCACTGACTACAACAAAACTCACTCGACCAGTGCTGAGTACAGTCAGCTTGGAGAGACAACACAACACAAGGCAGCAAGAGGATCTATCTCATCCGACTCTGAAGCCTCCTCTGATGTTGAGAGCACCTCAAGCTCCTCCTCCGGCAGTCCAGCTCCAGCGTGTCTCAGCTCACAGCACACAGCAGGGCATCTGTCCAAGCCAGCTGGAGTCCACAGCTCCAGGTACCACTGGAGCAAACAGGAGATCCAGCCAGACAAGTCAGGCAGCTGGAGAGGCCAGCTCTGGGATCATGAGAGAGTGCCAGTAACTGAGAGTGTCTACATGGACCTGACTGGGCTGGGCATGAGCATTTCTGTCATGTACCATAACCAGCCTTACACAGGACCGTCCTGGCCTTACCTCGGCCAAACGTGGCCTTACTCTGGCCATAGCCAGCCACCATTATGGCCTTACCCTGTCCAGAGCCTGTCCCTGTACAGCCCGAGTCTGCCTGTGATGTACCCCCACAGGCCAGACTACTTTTTACCCCTAGATTTTAAAAAGTGTAAGTCTATCAATCAAATTTTGTTTATTAAATGTCATAAGCTTTTCAACTCTTTTCTTATCTTTTTTATTTAGAAAATCAAATCTTTATTTTATACCACCTTTTCTATTTGTTCAGCTGTTGATATTTTATCAACTTGATGTCCCCTCCTTAAGTTTAATTGACTTATCTTGTTATTGGACAAAGTTTTTATGATGTGCTCTGATTTTTATCAACCTTTTTTTTTAGAATGACTTTTTTTTGGTTTGTGGGATGTGGCAAATCTTTTTCTTGTCTGAATATTTTTCATGGCTGCGTGTTTTTCTTGTCTGAATATTTTTCATGGCTGCGTGTTTTTGTTGTCTGAATATTTTTCATGGCTGCGTGTTTTTGTTGTCTGAATATTTTTCATGGCTGCGTGTTTTTGTTGTCTGAATGTTTTTCATGGCTGCGTGTTTTTGTTGTCTGAATGTTTTTCATGGCTGCCTGTTTTTGTTGTCTGAATGTTTTTCATGGCTGCGTGTTTTTATTGTCTGTGGTGAATGTTTTTCATGACTGTGTGTTTTTGTTGTCTGTGGTGAATGTTTTTCATGGCTGCGTGTTTTTGTTGTCTGTGGTGAATGTTTTTCATGGCTGCCTGTTTTTGTTGTCTGAATGTTTTTCATGGCTGCCTGTTTTTGTTGTCTGAATGTTTTTCATGGCTGCGTGTTTTTGTTGTCTGTGGTGAATGTTTTTCATGGCTGCCTGTTTTTGTTGTCTGAATATTTTTCATGGCTGCCTGTTTTTGTTGTCTGAATGTTTTTCATGGCTGCGTGTTTTTGTTGTCTGTGGTGAATGTTTTTCATGGCTGCGTGTTTTTGTTGTCTGTGGTGAATGTTTTTCATGGCTGCGTGTTTTTGTTGTCTGAATATTTTTCATGGCTGCCTGTTTTTGTTGTCTGAATGTTTTTCATGGCTGCGTGTTTTTGTTGTCTGAATGTTTTTCATGGCTGTGTGTTTTTGTTGTCTGAATGTTTTTCATGGCTGTGTGTTTTTGTTGTCTGAATATTTTTCATGGCTGCGTGTTTTTGTTGTCTGTGGTGAATATTTTTCATGGCTGCGTGTTTTGGTTCCCTATTAATGGTACTCTAGTAATGGTTTCCTATTCATGGTTCCCCATGCTTGGTTCCCTATATATGGTCCCCATTTGCTTGGTTCCCTATTCATGGTTCCCCATGCTTGGTTCCCTATTCATGGTCCCCTAGGTAGAAGAAATGTCCTGTAACCAGTCAACCAATGTCCTCCACAGATGAGATGTCCATGCCTCCAAACAGACCTTGGATAACAACAGGAGAGGCTGACAAAGACGTGCCTGCAGGTAGGTCATTTCTAGCCTGTGTTAGACCCCCACCCCAGCTACCTAAAACAATGTATAACCTCATTTTGAATGTCTTCACCAACTTTGTGATTAGTTAGATAAAAAAATGCATACTAAAGTTTTAATAACAAGCTTGTTATGTAATAATACACTAAAAAGAAAACTTTTTGGATACTATTACTATTATTTAGTATAGATTTTAAACGACTTAGTATAAATTAATCCCTATATGTTAAGTGCTTGGTTTATTTAAATGTTTCTTTGCAATAGCAAACAGAAACACAGTAACAGAAAAGTTTTAAACATTTATTTTTGTATTTTATAGGATATTTTCTGCACTCATAGATGCCTTATAATCTTAACAATCATAACATTTGTCAGTCGTAGCCTCTTCGGGTCCACGACTTCAATCTCTGTTTACTTATTTCTTGTTTTATACTTGAAAATTACTTTTTGCATAAGGGGCATCTCTGTTTACTTATTTCTTGTTTTATACTTGAAAATTACTTTTTGCATAAGGGGCAGTCAGTGTTCTTGTAAGTCTGAAAAATGTCTAAAAAGCAAATGTTAGACTTTTATAAAGTCTGGAAATCCATTAGTTTTCAGGCTAAAAAATTCTAGAAAATGTTAGGAATTTAATTCTAGAAATAAAACTTGTCCACAATGTCCATTAGTTTACAGCGTGTCAACTTACCATGTGAATGTGCTAAGACTATCTCAAATTGTTCTGTATTTAAAGAGTGATGTGCATAGACCCTGTGTTTCTCTCAATTTTACACACAATTTTTCCTAGAGGGTGGGTAAGGGGGGCCCAAACTATTTGATGTCATTTGATGTCATTTGATGTCATTTGATGTCATTTGAGGTTGTCTGGCTATTAATTACTGCATGGGTTGGGGCAAAATTAGGAATTTACTGTCACTTGACACCAACCTGTGTCATGTCACCTGACATTAGCCTGTGTCATGTCACTTGACACCAACCTGTGTCATGTCACCTGTCATTAGCCTGTGTCATGTCACCTGTCATTAGCCTGTGTCATGTCACCTGTTAGTAGCCTGTGTCATGTCACCTGTCACTAGCCTGTGTCATGTCACCTGTCACCAGCCTGAGTCATGTCACCTTTCACCAGCCTGTGTCTCCCCAGCAGCTGTGTTCTCAGTGATGTGCTACAATGTCCTGTGTCTCCCACAGCTGTGTTCTCAGTGATGTGCTACAATGTCCTGTGTCTCCCCAGCAGCTGTGTTCTCAGTGATGTGCTACAATGTCCTGTGTCTCCCACAGCTGTGTTCTCAGTGATGTGCTACAATGTCCTGTGTCTCCCCAGCAGCTGTGTTCTCAGTGATGTGCTACAATGTCCTGTGTCTCCCACAGCTGTGTTCTCAGTGATGTGCTACAATGTCCTGTGTCTCCCCAGCAGCTGTGTTCTCAGTGATGTGCTACAATGTCCTGTGTCTCCCACAGCTGTGTTCTCAGTGATGTGCTACAATGTCCTGTGTCTCCCACAGCTGTGTTCTCAGTGATGTGCTACAATGTCCTGTGTCTCCCCAGCAGCTGTGTTCTCAGTGATGTGCTACAATGTCCTGTGTCTCCCACAGCTGTGTTCTCAGTGATGTGCTACAATGTCCTGTGTCTCCCCAGCAGCTGTGTTCTCAGTGATGTGCTACAATGTCCTGTGTCTCCCACAGCTGTGTTCTCAGTGATGTGCTACAATGTCCTGTGTCTCCCACAGCTGTGTTCTCAGTGATGTGCTACAATGTGCTGTGTCTCCCACAGCTGTGTTCTCAGTGATGTGCTACAATGTCCTGTGTCTCCCACAGCTGTGTTCTCAGTGATGTGCTACAATGTCCTGTGTGACAAGCTCTGTACCAAGGCCATGTACGCCTACTGTCCCACTTGGGCTCTCAGCTGGGACTACAGGAAAAAGGGCATCATGAACGACATTACCAGGGGAAACGCTGACATCATCACATTACAGGTATGTCTCACCACATTACAGGTATGTCTCACCACATTACAGGTATGTCTCACCACATTACAGGCATGTCTCACCACATTACAGGCATGTCTCACCACATTACAGGCATGTCTCACCACATTACAGGCATGTCTCACCACATTACAGGCATGTCTCACCACATTACAGGCATGTCTCACCACATTACAGGCATGTCTCACCACATTACAGGCATGTCTCACCACATTACAGGCATGTCTCACCACATTACAGGCATGTCTCACCACATTACAGGTATGTCTCACCACATTACAGGCATGTCTCACCACCACATTACAGGCATGTCTCACCACATTACAGGCATGTCTCACCACATTACAGGCATGTTTCACCACATTACAGGCATGTCTCACCACATTACAGGCATGTCTCACCACATTACAGGCATGTCTCACCACATTACAGGCATGTCCCACCACATTACAGGCATGTCTCACCACATTACAGGCATGTCTCACCACATTACAGGCATGTCTCACCACATTACAGGCATGTCTCACCACATTACAGGCATGTCTCACCACATTACAGGCATGTCTCACCATATTACAGGCATGTCTCACCACATTACAGGCATGTCATTACTTGAAGTTGAGCATAGACATTAGATTGACAGTCAGCACACTGAGTTCGATAAGACTGCTCCAAAATAATTGTTGATTTGAATAAAAAAACTCCATGATAGTATTTCTGAAAATAATATATGTAAAACTAGCATACACGTCTCGCGCGTTGCTGCGCTCTCACAAAAAGGCTGACTCAATATTTAAGAGGATTTCATCAATGTGTTACCAATCCTGTAATCCTGCCAGCTGGTTGATTTATCAAATGTTACACTACACTGGCTGGCACACCTTTCAATCCACTGTGTGGGTGGGTGGGTGGCACACCTTTCAATCCACTGTGTGGGTGGCTGACACACCTTTCACTCCACTGTGTGGGTGGCTGGCACAGGAAATCATGGAACAATAACCTGACAAAATGACTTTCTACTCTTGCAGGAAGTGAATTAAAACATCCAATGTGTTTTCTGAAAACATCCAATGTGTTTTCTAAAAACATCCAATGTGTTTTCTATTCCAGGAAGTGGAAACAGAGCAATATTATAGCATGTTTTTTCCTGAACTTTGTGCACATGGCTATGATGGGATTTTTCTGCCCAAATCACGAGTCAGGACCATGAACTCAGACAAGGAGAAGAAATGTGTTGATGGTTGTGCCATATTTTTCAAAAAGAACAAGTAAGAACATTAGCCTACTATCTGCTAAATGACTGAGTGAGTTGTAAGGAAGTGATTGAGTGTGATAGAAGGAAGTGATTGAGTGTGGTGTAAGGAAGTGATTGTGTGTGATTTTAGGTTATTTAAAGAAGTGATTGAGTGTGATATAAGGAAGTGATTGAGTGTGGTGTAAGGAAGTGATTGAGTGTGATGTAAGGAAGTGATTGAGTGTGATGTAAGGAAGTGATTGAGTGTGATGTAAGGAAGTGATTGAGTGTGGTGTAAGGAAGTGATTGAGTGTGATTTTAGGTTATTTAAAGAAGTGATTGAGTGTGATATAAGGAAGTGATTGAGTGTGGTGTAAGGAAGTGATTGAGTGTGATGTAAGGAAGTGATTGAGTGTGGTGTAAGGAAGTGATTGTGTGGGATGTAAGGAAGTTATTGAGTGTGATGTAAGGAAGTGATTGAGTGTGATGTAAGGAAGTGATTGAGTGTGATGTAAGGAAGTGATTGAGTGATGTAAGGAAGTGATTGAGTGTGATGTAAAGAAGTGATTGAGTGTGATGTAAGGAAGTGATTGAGTGTGATGTAAGGAAGTGATTGAGTGTGGTGTAAGGAAGTGATTGAGTGTGGTGTAAGGAAGTGATTGAGTGTGGTGTAAGGAAGTCATTGAGTGTGGTGTAAGGAAGTGATTGAGTGTGATGTAAGGAAGTGATTGAGTGTGGTGTAAGGAAGTGATTGAGTGTGGTGTATGGAAGTGATTGAGTGTGATATTTGGTGATTTAAGGAGGTGATTGAGTGTGATTTTAGGTTATTTAAAGAAGTGATTGAGTGTGATGTAAGGAAGTGATTGAGTGTGATGTAAGGAAGTGATTGAGTGTGATGTAAGGAAGTGATTGAGTGTGGTGTAAAGATGTGATTGCGTGTGATTTTAGGTGATGTAAAGAAGTGATTGAGTGTGATGTAAGGAAGTGATTGAGTGTGATGTAAGGAAGTGATTGAGTGTGGTGTAAGGAATTGATTGAGTGTGGTGTATGGAAGTGATTGAGTGTGATGTAAGGAAGTGATTGAGTGTGATGTAAGGAAGTGATTGAGTGTGATGTAAGGAAGTGATTGAGTGTGATGTAAGGAAGTGATTGAGTGAGTGTGGTGTAATGAAGTGATTGAGTGTGGTGTATGGAAGTGATTGAGTGTAGTGTATGGAAGTGATTGAGTGTGATGTAAGGAAGTGATTGAGTGTGATATAAGGTGATGTAAAAAGTGATTGAGTGTGATGTAAGGAAGTGATTGAGTGTGATGTAAGGAAGTGATTGAGTGATGTAAAGAAGTGATTAAGTGTGATGTAAGGAAGTGATTGAGTGTGATGTAAGGAAGTGATTGAGTGTGATGTAAGGAAGTGATTGAGTGTGATGTGAGGAAGTGATTGAGTGTGATGTAAGGAAGTGATTGAGTGTGATGTAAGGAAGTGATTGAGTGTGATATAAGGAAGTGATTGAGTGTGATGTAAGGAAGTGATTGAGTGTGATGTAAGGAAGTGATTGTGTGTGGTGTAAGGAAGTCATTGAGTGTGGTGTAAGGAAGTGATTGAGTGTGATGTAAGGAAGTGATTGAGTGTGATGTAAGGAAGTGATTGAGTGTGATGTAAGGAAGTGATTGAGTGTGATGTAAGGAAGTGATTGTGTGTGATGTAAGGAAGTGATTGAGTGTGATGTAAGGAAGTGATTTTGTGTGATGTAAGGAAGTGATTGTGTGTGATGTAAGGAAGTTATTGAGTGTGATGTAAGGAAGTGATTGAGTATGGTGTAAGGAAGTGATTGAGTCTGATTTTAGGTTATTTAAAGAAGTGATTGAGTCTGATATAAGGAAGTGATTGAGTGTGATGTAAGGAAGTGATTGAGTGTGGTGTAAGGAAGTGATTGAGTGTGGTGCATGGAAGTGATTGAGTGTGATATTTGGTGATGTAAGGAGGTGATTGAGTGTGATTTTAGGTTATTTAACGAAGTGATTGAGTGTGATGTAAGGAAGTGATTGAGTGAGTGTGGTGTAAAGATGTGATTGCGTGTGATTTTAGGTGATGTAAAGAAGTGATTGAGTGTGATGTAAAGAAGTGATTGAGTGTGATGTAAGGAAGTGATTGAGTGGGATGTAAGGAAGTGATTGAGTGTGATGTAAGGAAGTGATTGTGTGTGATGTAAGGAAGTGATTGTATGTGATGTAAGGAGGTTATTGAGTGTGATGTAAGGAAGTGATTGAGTGTGGTGTAAGGAAGTGATTGAGTCTGATTTTAGGTTATTTAAAGAAGTGATTGAGTGTGATATAAGGAAGTGATTGAGTGTGATGTAAGGAAGTGATTGAGTGTGGTGTAAGGAAGTGATTGAGTGTGGTGCATGGAAGTGATTGAGTGTGATATTTGGTGATGTAAGGAGGTGATTGAGTGTGATTTTAGGTTATTTAACGAAGTGATTGAGTGTGATGTAAGGAAGTGATTGAGTGTGATGTAAGGAAGTGATTGAGTGTGGTGTAAAGATGTGATTGTGTGTGATTTTAGGTGATGTAAAGAAGTGATTGAGTGTGATGTAAGGAAATGATTGAGTGTGATGTAAGGAAGTGATTGAGTGTGATGTAAGGAAGTGATTGAGTGTGATGTAAGGAAGTGATTGAGTGTGATGTAAGGAAGTGATTGAGTGTGATGTAAGGAAGTGATTGAGTGTCGTGTAATGAAGTGATTGAGTGTGATGTAAGGAAGTGATTGAGTGTGATGTAAGGAAGTGATTGAGTCTGGTGTTTGGAAGTGATTGAGTGTAGTGTATGGAAGTGATTGAGTGTGATGTAAGGAAGTGAATGAGTGTGATATAAGGTGATGTAAAAAAGTGATTGAGTGTGATGTAAGGAAGTGATTGAGTGTGATGTAAGGAAGTGATTGAGTGTGATGTAAGGAAGTGATTGAGTGTGATGTAAGGAAGTGATTGAGTGTGATGTAAGGAAGTGATTGAGTGTGATGTAAGGAAGTGATTGAGTGTGATGTAAGGAAGTGATTGAGTGTGATGTAAGGAAGTGATTGAGTGTGATGTAAGGAAGTGATTGAGTGTGATGTAAGGAAGTGATTGAGTGTGATGTAAAGAAGTGATTGAGTGTGGTGTAAATATGTGATTGAGTGTGATGTAAGGAAGTGATTGAGTGTGATGTAAGGAAGTGATTGAGTGTGATGTAAGGAAGTGATTGAGTGTGATGTAAGGAATTGATTGAGTGTAATGTAAGGAAGTGATTGAGTGTGATGTAAGGAAGTGATTGAGTGTGATGTAAGGAAGTGATTGAGTGTGATGTAAGGAAGTGATTGAGTGTGATGTAAGGAAGTGATTGAGTGTGATGTAAGGAAGTGATTGAGTGTGGTGTAATGAAGTGATTGAGTGTAGTGTATGGAAGTGATTGAGTGTGATGTAAGGAAGTGATTGAGTGTGATATAAGGTGATGTAAAAAAGTGATTGAGTGTGATGTAAGGAAGTGATTGAGTGTGATGTAAAGAAGTGATTGAGTGTGGTGTAAATATGTGATTGAGTGTGATGTAAGGAAGTGATTGAGTGTAATGTAAGGAAGTGATTGAGTGTGATGTAAGGAAGTGATTGAGTGTGATATTTGGTGATGTAAGGAAGTGATTGAGTGTGATTTTAGGTGATGTAAAGAAGTGATTTTAGGTGATGTAAAGAAGTGATTGAGTGTGATGTAAGGAAGTGATTGAGTGTGGTGTAAGGAAGTGATTGAGTGTGGTGTAAGGAAGTGATTGAGTGTCGTGTAAGGAAGTGATTGAGTGTGATTTTAGGTGATGTAAAGAAGTGATTGAGTGTGATGTAAGGAAGTGATTGAGTGTGATGTAAGGAAGTGATTGAGTGTGGTGTAAGGAAGTGATTGAGTGTGGTGTAAGGAAGTGATTGAGTGTGGTGTAAGGAAGTGATTGAGTGTAGTGTAAGGAAGTGATTGAGTGTGGTGTAAGGAAGTGATTGAGTGTGGTGTAAGGAAGTGATTGAGTGTGATGTAAGGAAGTGATTGAGTGTGGTGTAAGGAAGTGATTGAGTGTGATGTAAGGAAGTGATTGGGTGTGGTGTAAGGAAGTGATTGAGTGTGGTGTAAGGATGTGATTGAGTGTGATATTTGGTGATGTAAGGAAGTGATTGAGTGTGATTTTAGGTGATGTAAGGAAGTGATTGATTGTGGTGTAAGGAAGTGATTGAGTGTGGTGTATGGAAGTGATTGAGTGTGATGTAAGAAATTGATTGAGTGTAATGTAAAGAAGTGATTGAGTGTGATGTAAGAAAGTGATTGAGTGTGATGTAAGGAAGTGATTGAGTGTGATGTAAGGAAGTGATTGAGTGTGGTGTAAGGAAGTGATTGAGTGTGATGTAAGGAAGTGATTGGGTGTGGTGTAAGGAAGTGATTGAGTGTGGTGTAAGGATGTGATTGAGTGTGATATTTGGTGATGTAAGGAAGTGATTGAGTGTGATTTTAGGTGATGTAAGGAAGTGATTGATTGTGGTGTAAGGAAGTGATTGAGTGTGGTGTATGGAAGTGATTGAGTGTGATGTAAGAAATTGATTGAGTGTAATGTAAAGAAGTGATTGAGTGTGATGTAAGAAAGTGATTGAGTGTGATGTAAGGAAGTGATTGAGTGTGATGTAAGGAAGTGATTGAGTGTGGTGTATTGAAGTGATTGAGTGTGGTGTAAGGAAGTGATTGAGTGTGATGTTAGGAAGTGATTGTGTGTGATGTAAGGAAGTGATTGAGTGTGATGTAAAGAAGTGATTGAGTGTGATTTTAGGTGATGTAAAGAAGTGATTGAGTGTGATGTAAGGAAGTGATTGAGTGTGATGTAAGGAAGTGATTGAGTGTGATGTATTGAAGTGATTGAGTGTGGTGTAAGGAAGTGATTGAGTGTGATGTAAGGAAGTGATTGAGTGTGGTGTAAGGAAGTGATTGAGTGTGATGTAAGGAAGTGATTGAGTGTGGTGTATTGAAGTGATTGAGTGTGGTGTATTGAAGTGATTGAGTGTGGTCTAAGGAAGTGATTGAGTGTGATGTTAGGAAGTGATTGTTTGTGATGTTAGGAAGTGATTGTGTGTGATGTAAGGAAGTGGTTGAGTGTGATGTAAAGAAGTGATTGAGTGTGATTTTAGGTGATGTAAAGAAGTGATTAAGTGTGATGTAAGGAAGTGATTGAGTGTGATGTAAGGAAGTGATTGAGTGTGATGTATTGAAGTGATTGAGTGTGGTGTAAGGAAGTGATTGAGTGTGATGTTAGGAAGTGATTGAGTGTGATGTTAGCAAGTGATTGTGTGTGATGTAAGGAAGTGATTGAGTGTGATGTAAAGAAGTGATTGAGTGTGATGTAAGGAAGTGATTGAGTGTGATGTAAAGAAGTGATTGAGTGTGATGTAAGGAAGTGATTGAGTGTGGTGTATTGAAGTGATTGAGTGTGGTGTATTGAAGTGATTGAGTGTGGTGTAAGGAAGTGATAGAGTGTGATGTTAGGAAGTGATTGTGTGTGATGTTAGGAAGTGATTGTGTGTGATGTAAGGAAGTGGTTGAGTGTGATGTAAAGAAGTGATTGAGTGTGATTTTAGGTGATGTAAAGAAGTGATTAAGTGTGATGTAAGGAAGTGATTGAGTGTGATGTAAGGAAGTGATTGAGTGTGATGTATTGAAGTGATTGAGTGTGGTGTAAGGAAGTGATTGAGTGTGATGTTAGGAAGTGATTGAGTGTGATGTTAGGAAGTGATTGTGTGTGATGTAAGGAAGTGATTGAGTGTGATGTAAAGAAGTGATTGAGTGTGATGTAAGGAAGTGATTGAGTGTGATGTAAAGAAGTGATTGAGTGTGATGTAAGGAAGTGATTGAGTGTGATGTAAGGATGTGATTGAGTGTGATGTAAGGAACTGATTGAGTGTGGTGTAAGGAAGTGATTAAGTTAGATATAAGGAAGTGATGGCCATAACCCTGGTTTAATGCAGGTTTGAGAAAGTCAACGAGTACCAAATAGAATTCAGCCAGCTGGCCACAAAGGAGGGAGCATCTAACACAGACACAGATATGATCAACCGGGTCAGCACTAAAGACAACATCGCAATAGTGGCTGTACTTAGGACTAGGCCTGATGTCTATCAGAACAGTGAGTCTCACACAAAGTCACTTCTTTAATCAGAACAGTGAGTCTCACACAAAGTCACTTCTTTAATCAGAACAGTGAGTCTCACACAAAGTCACTTCTTTTGATCAGAACAGTGAGTCTCACACAAAGTCACTTCTTTAATCAGAACAGTGAGTCTCACACAAAGTCACTTCTTTAATCAGAACAGTGAGTCTCACACAAAGTCACTTCTTTAATCAGAACAGTGAGTCTCACACAAATTCACTTCACACAAATTCACTTCTTTAATCAGAACAGTGAGTCTCACACAAAGTCACTTCTTTAATCAGAACAGTGAGTCTCACACAAATTCACTTCACACAAATTCACTTCTTTAATCAGAACAGTGAGTCTCACACAAAGTCACTTCTTTAATCAGAACAGTGAGTCCCACACAAATTCACTTCTTTAATCAAAACAGTGAGTCTCACACAAAGTCACTTCTTTAATCAGAACAGTGAGTCTCACACAAATTCACTTCTTTAACCAGAACTGTTTCCGCTCTGATTTTATGGTCCACTACTTTACATTCAGCATTCAAATTTCTGCTCGATTGAATTGTTTAGTTATATCTCAAAATAGTATTAATGAATTGTTTAGCTATATCTCTAAATGGTATTAATGAATTGTTTAACATCTCAAAATGGTATTGATGAATTGTTTGAAAAGAAAGTTGTTTTAGAAGAATCCAATGTGATTGCAGGCCCAGTTCCAGCCCCCAAAGGTTTGACGCAGATGCTGATGGTGTCTACTGCTCACATCCACTGGGACCCCCAGTCCCCTGATGTCAAGCTGGTGCAGACCATGATGCTGATAGAGGAACTACAAAAATTTGTCAAGGAAGCCTCAGTGCAATTTCGACCCAATGCACCTCCTCCTTCATTAGATGCAGATCTGTGTAACAGCATGCCTCTCATTCTGTGTGGGGATTTTAACTCCTTACCTGACTCAGGTCAGTACTTGACCATTCTAGGTTTTATCTCTGGTCAGTACTTGACCATTCTAGGTTTTACTTGAAACAGGTCAGTACTTGACCATTCTAGGTTTTACTTGAAACAGGTCAGTACTTGACCATTCTAGGTTTTACTTGAAACAGGTCAGTACTTGACCAGTCTAGGTTTTATCTCAGGTCAGTACTTGACCATTCTAGGTTTTACTTGAATCAGGTCAGTACTTGACCATTCTAGGTTTTACTTGAAACAGGTCAGTACTTGACCATTCTAGGTTTTACTTGAAACAGGTCAGTACTTGACCAGTCTAGGTTTTACTTGAAACAGGTCAGTACTTGACCATTCTAGGTTTTATCTCAGGTCAGTACTTGACCATTCTAGGTTTTATCTCAGGTCAGTACTTGACCAGTCTAGGTTTTACTTGAAACAGGTCAGTACTTGACCATTCTAGGTTTTATCTCAGGTCAGTACTTGACCATTCTAGGTTTTATCTCAGGTCAGTACTTGACCATTCTAGGTATTATCTCAGGTCAGTACTTGACCATTCTAGGTTTTATCTCAGGTCAGTACTTGACCAGTCTAGGTTTTACTTGAAACAGGTCAGTACTTGACCATTCTAGGTTTTATCTCAGGTCAGTACTTGACCATTCTAGGTTTTATCTCAGGTCAGTACTTGACCAGTCTAGGTTTTACTTGAAACAGGTCAGTACTTGACCATTCTAGGTTTTATCTCAGGTCAGTACTTGACCATTCTAGGTTTTATCTCAGGTCAGTACTTGACCAGTCTAGGTTTTACTTGAAACAGGTCAGTACTTGACCATTCTAGGTTTTATCTCAGGTCAGTACTTGACCATTCTAGGTTTTATCTCAGGTCAGTACTTGACCATTCTAGGTATTATCTCAGGTCAGTACTTGACCATTCTAGGTTTTATCTCAGGTCAGTACTTGACCATTCTAGGTTTTATCTCAGGTCAGTACTTGACCAGTCTAGGTTTTTATCTCAGGTCAGTACTTGACCATTCTAGGTTTTACTTGAAACAGGTCAGTACTTGACCATTCTAGGTTTTACTTGAAACAGGTCAGTACTTGACCAGTCTAGGTTTTACTTGAAACAGGTCAGTACTTGACCATTCTAGGTTTTATCTCAGGTCAGTACTTGACCATTCTAGGTTTTATCTCAGGTCAGTACTTGACCAGTCTAGGTTTTACTTGAAACAGGTCAGTACTTGACCATTCTAGGTTTTATCTCAGGTCAGTACTTGACCATTCTAGGTTTTATCTCAGGTCAGTACTTGACCATTCTAGGTATTATCTCAGGTCAGTACTTGACCATTCTAGGTTTTATCTCAGGTCAGTACTTGACCAGTCTAGGTTTTACTTGAAACAGGTCAGTACTTGACCATTCTAGGTTTTATCTCAGGTCAGTACTTGACCATTCTAGGTTTTATCTCAGGTCAGTACTTGACCATTCTAGGTATTATCTCAGGTCAGTACTTGACCATTCTAGGTTTTATCTCAGGTCAGTACTTGACCATTCTAGGTTTTATCTCAGGTCAGTACTTGACCATTCTAGGTTTTATCTCAGGTTAGTACTTGACCATTCTAGGTTTTACTTGAAACAGGTCAGTACTTGACCATTCTAGGTTTTATCTCAGGTCAGTACTTGACCATTCTAGGTTTTACTTGAAACAGGTCAGTACTTGACCATTCTAGGTTTTATCTCAGGTCAGTACTTGACCAGTCTAGGTTTTACTTGAAACAGGTCAGTACTTGACCATTCTAGGTTTTACTTGAAACAGGTCAGTACTTGAGCAGTCTTTAACTAAAGCCCTATTTAATTCCACAGGTGTCTATGAGTTCTTGTCCAAAGGTCGACTCGACACCAGTCACAAGGATTTTGAGGGTCAAAATTATCCTGTTTTTATGAAAGATAGAAATGCAAATGGTATCATCACCCACAACTTTAATTTAACCAGTGCATACAAAGATGTTATACCCTTCACAAACTACACGTAAGACTTGTTGAGTACAATCATTAACAAGACTTGTTGAGTACAATCATTAACACGACTTGTTGAGTACAATCATTAACACGACTTGTTGAGTACAATCATTAACAAAAGCTTTCATTCAACTTCTACCCACAAGACTCTGCACTAGACATTTCACCTACAGGGACCTCACCTTGACCTACAGGGACCTTACCTTGACCTACTGGGTCATTACTGGGTCATTACCTTGATCTACCGGGACCTTACCTTGACCTACAGGGACCTTACCTTGACCTACTAGGACCTTACCTTGGCATTCTTAACCATACACAATTTATTACTTTCTTATCCTATCAGACATGCCTTTTTTGCTTTTTGGTACGACTGCACTTTTGGAATGTCTGTACTTTTAATATGACTGTACTTTTGATACGACTGTTTGTACTTTTGGTTGCTAGTGCTGGGTATGTCTGCCTTATAGAGTTTGTTAATTTGTAATTGGATTTCTTTTAGCCCGAGCAGCAATTTTTGGCTCTAATGAGCTTGTCTAACTCTTGGTTCCAGATTTGACTTTAAAGGCATCATAGACTACATCTTCTACTCAGCCCAACACCTCAAGCTGCATGCTGTGATGGGACTTCAAGATGAAGAGTGGTTCAGAGCCAACAAAATCATTGGCTGTCCTCATCCATTTGTTCCCTCGGATCACTTCCCCTTGTTTGCAGAATTTTCATTGCCAGTCCAGCGTCCAAGATAATAGCAGGCCCCACCCCCACGTCCAAGATAATAGCAGGCCCCACCCCCACGTCCAAGATAATAGCAGGCCCCACCCCCACGTCCAAGATAATAGCAGGCCCCACCCCCATGTCCAAGATAATAGCAGGCCCCACCCCCACGTCCAACATAATAGCAGGCCCCACCCCCACGTCCAAGATAATAGCAGGCCCCACCCCCATGTCCAAGATAATAGCAGGCCCCACCCCCACGTCCAAGATAATAGCAGGCCCCACCCCCACGTCCAAGATAATAGCAGGCCCCACCCCCACGTCCAAGATAATAGCAGGCCCCACCCCCATGTCCAAGATAATAGCAGGCCCCACCCCCACGTCCAAGATAATAGCAGGCCCCACCCCCATGTCCAAGATAATAGCAGGCCCCACCCCCACGTCCAAGATAATAGCAGGCCCCACCCCCACGTCCAAGATAATAGCAGGCCCCACCCCCACGTCCAAGATAATAGCAGGCCCCACCCCCACGTCCAAGATAATAGCAGGCCCCACCCCCACGTCCAACATAATAGCAGGCCCCACCCCCACGTCCAACATAATAGCAGGCCCCACCCCCACGTCCAACATAATAGCAGGCCCCACCCCCACGTCCAACATAATAGCAGGCCCCACCCCCACGTCCAACATAATAGCAGGCCCCACCCCACGTCCAAGATAATAGCAGGCCCCACCCCCATGTCCAAGATAATAGCAGGCCCCACCCCCATGTCCAACAAAATAGCAGGCCCCACCCCCATGTCCAAGATAATAGCAGGCCCCACCCCCACGTCCAAGATAAAAGCAGGCCCCACCCCCACGTCCAAGATAATAGCAGGCCCCACCCCCAAGTCCAAGATAATAGCAGGCCCCACCCCCACGTCCAAGATAATAGCAGGCCCCACCCCCACGTCCAAGATAATAGCAGGCCCCACCCCCACGTCCAAGATAATAGCAGGCCCCACCCCCATGTCCAAGATAATAGCAGGCCCCACCCCCACGTCCAAGATAATAGCAGGCCCCACCCCCACGTCCAAGATAATAGCAGGCCCCACCCCCACGTCCAAGATAATAGCAGGCCCCACCCCCACGTCCAACATAATAGCAGGCCCCACCCCCACGTCCAACATAATAGCAGGCCCCACACCCACGTCCAACATAATAGCAGGCCCCACCCCCACGTCCAACATAATAGCAGGCCCCACCCCACGTCCAAGATAATAGCAGGCCCCACCCCCATGTCCAAGATAATAGCAGGCCCCACCCCCATGTCCAACAAAATAGCAGGCCCCACCCCCATGTCCAAGATAATAGCAGGCCCCACCCCCACGTCCAAGATAATAGCAGGCCCCACCCCCACGTCCAAGATAATAGCAGGCCCCACCCCCACGTCCAAGATAATAGCAGGCCCCACCCCCACGTCCAAGATAATAGCAGGCCCCACCCCCACGTCCAAGATAATAGCAGGCCCCACCCCCACGTCCAAGATAATAGCAGGCCCCACCCCCACGTCCAAGATAATAGCAGGCCCCACCCCCACGTCCAACATAATAGCAGGCCCCACCCCCACGTCCAACATAATAGCAGGCCCCACTCCCACGTCCAACATAATAGCAGGCCCCACCCCCACGTCCAAGATAATAGCAGGCCCCACCCCCCACACATTGCCAGTCCAGCGTCCAACATAATAGCAGGCCCCACCCCCACGTCCAAGATAATAGCAGGCCCCACCCCCACATTCAAGATGATAGCATCACCCACAACTTCGTCCAAGATAATAGCAGGCCCCACCCCCACGTCCAACATAATAGCAGGCCCCACCCCCACGTCCAAGATAATAGCAGGCCCCCCCACGTCCAAGATAATAGCAGGCCCCACCCCCACGTCCAAGATAATAGCAGGCCCCACCCCCACGTCCAAGATAATAGCAGGCCCCACCCCCATGTCCAAGATAATAGCAGGCCCCACCCCCACGTCCAAGATAATAGCAGGCCCCACCCCCATGTCCAAGATAATAGCAGGCCCCACCCCCACGTCCAAGATAATAGCAGGCCCCACCCCCACGTCCAAGATAATAGCAGGCCCCACCCCCACGTCCAAGATAATAGCAGGCCCCACCCCCACGTCCAAGATAATAGCAGGCCCCACCCCCACGTCCAACATAATAGCAGGCCCCACCCCCACGTCCAACATAATAGCAGGCCCCACCCCCACGTCCAACATAATAGCAGGCCCCACCCCCACGTCCAACATAATAGCAGGCCCCACCCCCACGTCCAACATAATAGCAGGCCCCACCCCACGTCCAAGATAATAGCAGGCCCCACCCCCATGTCCAAGATAATAGCAGGCCCCACCCCCACGTCCAAGATAATAACAGGCCCCACCCCCACGTCCAAGATAATAGCAGGCCCCACGTCTAAGATAATAGCAGGCCCCACCCCCACGTCCAAGATAATAGCAGGCCCCACCCCCACGTCCAAGATAATAGCAGGCCCCACCCCCATGTCAAAGATAATAGCAGGCCCCACCCCCATGTCAAAGATAATAGCAGGCCCCACCCCCACGTCCAAGATAATAGCAGCCCCCACCCCCACGTCCAAGATAATAGCAGGCCCTACCCCCACGTCCAAGATAATAGCAGGCCCCACCCCCACGTCCAAGATAATAGCAGGCCCCACCCCCACACATTGCCAGTCCAGCGTCCAAGATAATAGCAGGCCCCACCCCCACGTCCAAGATAATAGCAGGCCCCACCCCCACACATTGCCAGTCCAGCGTCCAAGATAATAGCAGGCCCCACCCCCACGTCCAAGATAATAGCAGGCCCCACCCCCACGTCCAAGATAATAGCAGGCCCCACCCCCATGTCCAAGATAATAGCAGGCCCCACCCCCACGTCCAAGATAATAGCAGGCCCCACCCCCACGTCCAAGATAATAGCAGGCCCCACCCCCACGTCCAAGATGATAGCAGGCCCCACGTCCAAGATAATAGCAGGCCCCACCCCCACACATTGCCAGTCCAGCGTCCACGATAATAGCAGGCCCCACCCCCACGTCCAAGATAATAGCAGGCCCCACCCCCCACACATTGCTAGTCCAGCGTCCAACATAATAGCAGGCCCCACCCCCACGTCCAAGATAATAGCAGGCCCCACCCCCATGTCCAAGATAATAGCAGGCCCCACCCCCATGTCCAAGATAATAGCAGGCCCCACCCCCACGTCCAAGATAATAGCAGCCCCCACCCCCATGTCCAAGATAATAGCAGGCCCCACCCCCATGTCCAAGATAATAGCAGGCCCCACCCCCCACACATTGCTAGTCCAGCGTCCAACATAATAGCAGGCCCCACCCCCACGTCCAAGATAATAGCAGGCCCCACCCCCACACATTGCCAGTCCAGCGTCCAACATAATAGCAGGCCCCACCCCCACGTCCAAGATAATAGCAGGCCCCACCCCCACACATTGCCAGTCCAGCGTCCAACATAATAGCAGGCCCCACCCCCACGTCCAAGATAATAGCAGGCCCCACCCCCACGTCCAAGATAATAGCAGGCCCCACCCCCACGTCCAAGATAATAGCAGGCCCCACCCCCACACATTGCCAGTCCAGCGTCCAAGATAATAGCAGGCCCCACCCCCACGTCCAAGATAATAGCAGGCCCCACCCCCACGTCCAAGATAATAGCAGGCCCCACCCCCACGTCCAAGATAATAGCAGGCCCCACCCCCACGTCCAAGATAATAGCAGGCCCCACCCCCACACATTGCCAGTCCAGCGTCCAAGATAATAGCAGGCCCCACCCCCACGTCCAACATAATAGCAGGCCCCACCCCCACGTCCAACGTAATAGCAGGCCCCACCCCCACGCAACAGTCCACAAAGCAACCCCGCCCCTCAGTACAAAAAATCCCCATCATGCCAGTAAACAGCTGTGTATGTGTGATCTAAAGATGAAAATTTTTAAAAGCATTATTTTTCTAGAGGGAGCCAATCTCTTGTTGATTGTCTAAGAAGTTTGATGAGCAAAGTATCTTAGATGGCTGATTCTTCAATTTGACCTTTCTTGCAAGTAAATTTTTATCAAAAATGTCTTAAGAATGAAATGTATGATTCAGGTGTGAAGCTGCCATTGTATGATCCAGGTGTGAAGCTGCCATCTGTGGGCCAGCCTGACTGCTTGCACTCATATTGTAAATAAAGATGCTTTTAATGATGATTGAACACATTTATAATGATGATTTTAATTATGATTTTAATGGTGACTTTACATATTTTAAACATTGTGGGCGCTGAAAGATCATCCATATTTTTTAAACATTGGGACTGTTAAAGAATTTGTTGTATTGGGACTGACTACAGCTACAGAATTTATTGGGACTGACAGCTACAGAATTTGTTGTATTGGGACTGACAGCTACAGAATTTGTTATATTGGGACTGACAGCTACAGAATTTGTTGTATTGGGACTGACAGCTACAGAATTTGTTGTATTGGGACTGACAGCTACAGAATTTGTTGTATTGGGACTGACAGCTACAGAATTTGTTGTATTGGGACTGACAGCTACAGAATTTGTTGTATTGGGACTGACAGCTACAGAATTTGTTGTATTGGGACTGACTGGGCAGCTGTTTTTAATCTTATCCACCCCCCTCCCCCTCAAACTCCATTGAATACTTCGCCTTTGTGCTACTCAACTGACATTGTTTATATACTTGAATATTTCCTATCTAAAACAATTTTGGTCCAATAATAGCAGTCCAAAATTGCTAGCTATGTTTTCCTGTATGTTTTTTACAAGTCCAAATAAAATAGATGATACCTTGATTGGTGGGTGGCTGGCCAGATTGTTCCAAACTTGGGACTGAGAAGAGTCATGTGATCAGATCCATTCCATTCTTTAAAACAGCGGTTTCCTGACCTTTTCTTATTCTAGGCGCCTTGCACTTTTTATATATATCAAAATGTATGTATTTATTTATACATTAAATAATAAATTTTAAGCGATAGATTTGTGTCAAGTTGGTCATTTTTCTCTGGTTAGCTTGACCAGACACTGTCTCTCACAGGTCCCATACCATTGGCCCCTCTAGTTAGCACACACAGGTCCCATACCATTGGGCCCTCTAGTTAGCACACACAGGTCCCATACCATTGGGCCCTCTAGTTAGCACTCACAGGTCCCATACCATTGGGCCCTCTAGTTAGCACACACAGG